TAATCATCATCATCATCATCATTAATCATACTTCTAACCATTACTTGAGCATCATTCTCAAGCGGATAACCATATATCTGAAGCCATAATTACTTCACACTAATGAAGAATATATTTATCTTATTCGTATGCATGTCAATATGTAAGCATGTTATATGTTGTGGCTGCTCACTATTTGTACCTACTCTCTTTCGGGGGGGGAAGCTGTTACAAATAGCGCGCACCCAGATAATCGATTGCATTTGGAACCCATTCCATTTGTTGTCTCGTTTGCCAGTACACATTTACAACATGAAGGGCGTCACATCTGAAGGAGTTATTAAAGAGGCTGCCGGGATCATTCTAAACACCAATCGGCCTGGGCATTATGGCAGCATGCATGTTAAGGTCACCGTGTCCAAGAAGCCTGGCACCAAAGGCGGTGCGCTGGTGGAGACGTATGGTTGGGCTCACTTGAGTGTCGGTGATGAAACTCGAGACTTCTGGTGGAACCCAGCCCCGGGGAATAATGCCTTTCTCCCTGGAGTGCCCATCCATATTGCTACTATCGACTACGGTTCTATCCCTAATGCTAACGTGAGCACGTGGACTTCGTGGCATCGTCTAGAAGGTACAGCTGATAGCAGAGGGTTGAGTCTGGACGCCAGTGAGAAAACCTTCTCCAATAAACGCTATCCTGATTTCTTCACCGGACAACAGATTATCGCAACGAAGAGGAATGGTGGTTGGGACTATATGGTTAAGTATCGATTCCGAGCTTATCCTGCGAAATTTAAAGAGTACATCAAGTATGTCATTCGCGGCAATCTGCAGGACAAAAAGTGATTGGTACTCAGCATGTGTTCCACACACGCCGTGAGGTCGATAAAGATGGCCCCAATGCGTTTCGAATGTTACGAGACGATCAGATCATTTTCACTACAACATCCATGTATTAATCAATATTTCGTATTTCCTTATCATCCATTACGTTCATGTCGTGCGCTGGTTCTGCTTTTCACCACCCATTGGTAGTACCCTAAGGAGTACGCAGACCTGCGTGTTGCTGTACGCGGTATGATACCGCGATAGTTGGATAATCCAACTCTTTCACGAGCACATTCATACGCTCATTTTTTGCACTTCGAGAAGTACTGAAGAGTGAAGCTGTATCTGGGCTTTCGTCGCCATTCAACGATCTTTGAGCGGATGGTTATTGAATTGAACACGAGCAAGATGCTGCGCCTTCAGCCACAGGTTTCTCGAAAGTAGCTCTTTCTCATCCTTGACTGCTGTGGATGTTATTGCGTTTACACATATAGGACACTGAGTGCCTTGTGACGAGTCTCGTCACATCAACCCGACTTC